AATCCTGGTGACTCTTGCTCAAATCTATGAATGTACTAAAACTATTAACTCATACCCTTTAAAAGTGGATAAGTTGAAAGATATGCAAATTATACTTGAATAAAGCTGATGCAAAACTAAAAAAAACAAAACCCAAATGCTCTAAGACTGTTCATGAACAAACGATGGAGAACGAGCATAATGATATCCATGAAAACTGTATAAAGTGTCCTAGGATGCAGCAGAATAGTGCCAATCAGGCAAAAAATAATGTTTTTATTCTTTTCAGTATGATAACCAACAAATTTTATAAACAGTATTTATTAAAAGTACATATAATAGATCATGGAAACACTTTTAAATAACCAATCTGTGGGCTGTGGGTTCACAAGGCTGAATTCGACCAAGTGAAACCTCTGCAGAGATAGTGCCTTCTTTTGGGGGGAGGGGTAAAGAGGTCAGAGAACTCAAATGACAGTAACAGTGATGGCAGTCAAAAGTAACCGATAAGAAAGGGTGGTCCAAAGGAGGTGGCTGAGAGAAGCGAGGCTCAAGCGCTCGCTGGGTTCTACCACCAGGGCTTGGTATCCTCAAAGACGCCAAGGGAGAGGATGAACCCGGAGTCAGGTAAGACTTGCTAGTGTGGTGGGAGTCAGTTCAAAGGCTACATGCATAGAGAATCAGAAAGTTTGGAGTATAATTCGAAGGCTGGGAAGTTATTCTAAGGAAGCAAATGGTTGTGTTGCGTGCGCTCTTCGGAAAAGGATTCTGAGTTGGTGACTGATATTCAAACAGCTGCACTAATTAAGAGTGTTTATCTAGTAAAGAGGGGCAGGGATTGTGACAGGCATTGCAGGTGAGGGTGGAAAAGACTCAGGGTTAAAGCAACTTTGTGAAATCTAGAGTGGGAGGGAGGTGTTGTGAAATAACATTAAAAGCCAGGGCTTTGGAAATCAAATGGATCTGAATAACAATTTATTAACCAGCTATTTGATCAAACGTTATCCTCGGTGTTTCTTTGAGGGGGTTTGGGAAGAGATTAACCCTTAAATTGGTAGACGAGTGAAGTAGATTGCCCTGTGTGATGTAGATGGCCCTCAATCAGTTGAAGACCTGAAGAAACAAAAAGGCTGACTCTCCTCAAAGTAAAAGGGAATTCTTCTGCCTCATGGCCTTCAAACTGAAACATCAGCTTCTTCCTGCATTTTGGACCCAGAATGGAATGATACTTTTGGCTCTCTTGGGTCTCCAGATTGCCAACACACCCTGCAGATTTGGGGACTTGCTATCAGCCAATTCCTTATATCCTTATACTAAATCTCTCAATATATGTATGTGTTATATATACTACTCGGGTTTCCCAGGAGGCACTAGTGGTAAAGAATCCATCTGCCAATGCAGGAGACATAAAGAGGTACAGGTTTGATCCTTGGTTTGGGAAGATCCTCTGGAGGAGGGCATAGCAACCCACTCCAGTATCCTTGCCTGGAGAATCCCATGGACAGAGGAGCCTGGTGGGCTACAGTCCGAAGGGTCGCAAAGAGTCACACATAACTGAAGTGACTCTGCACGTGCACATATATTACACATGTATGTTTGGAGAAGACTCTTGAGAGTCCCTTGGACTGCAAGGAGCTCAAAACAATCAATTTTAAAGGAAATCAACCCTGAATATTCATTGGAAGGACTGATGCTGAAGCTCCAGTACTTTGGCCACCTGATGCGAAGAGCCAACTCACAGAAAAGACTCTGAGGCTGGGAAAGATGGAAGTCAAAAGGGAGTGGCAGAGGATGAGATGGTTAGACAGCATCCAACTCAATGGACATGAATATGAGCAAACTCCAGGAGACAGTGGAGGGCAGGGAAGCCTGGTGTGCTGTAGTCCATGGGGTTGCAAAGAGGTGGACATGACTTACCGACTGACCAACAACATATATTACATACACACACACAATCCTATTGGTTCTGTTTCTTCAGAGAACCCTAACACAACCTCAGTTCAAATCACAGCTGTTTCTTAATAGCTATATGACCTTAAGGAAGCCCTGTAACCTCCCTGAGCCTATAAAATGGAAATAATTAAACATCCATTTAGCACAGGATTGTAACAAAGATAAGCTGAAATAACTTCAAGGAGAATCGAGCACACTGTCTGACGCACAGTGCTCAGTAACTGAAAGTTGTCCATTTTATTACTATTATAGAAGACTCTCTTTTGAGGAAAAAATACAGGTAAAACAGGGCCTGAAGATGTATTCTCAGTGAGAAGGATGGTAGGAAAGTGAGTAGGAATTGTTAAAATTTTACCTAGTCACCAGCAAAGAGTCCCTTCTTCTGTTCTGTTTTCAACAAAAAGCTACTTTTCTGTTTCATCCCTCTCACCACTGTAACTCTTTGTATGGCATGCAGCTGAACCACTTTCTAAAACCCTAATTAAAATCTTGTTAGATAATCTTCCAAATACATATCACTGTTTCTTAAATATAGTGGGTGTAAAAATGTGGACCATCTGATTTTGAATGTTGCAAAAGTATTGAGTATATTACAGAAAATATTAGTAAACACTGTTATGTAGCATGTATGTATTTTCAGAACAAAATCTGCGATAGCAACTTATTTTGCTGTCAGCCTTCTGTAAAATTCAGTGTCTGACATCAATTCCAGTTTGCTAAGAGTTTTGGCTAGTAAAACTTTACTGTAAAAATCCCCTCCCTTTGACCTTAGAATAAGTACATTATCTTCATTTTATATTCTTAAATCCTTTCTAAGGGTAAGCATTAAGCATCATTGTGCAGAAACCCATTCTGTTTCAAATGTAAACATTCCATTCACCAACCAGTCTTAGCTGTTCACAGTCACAGCAGAGGTCCTAAAATTCCCATTTTTTTTAAGAGCAAAGACTGGCCAACTCCTCTGTGAAAAGAACCTGACTAATGCCAGTGTGTGGATTAGTTCTGGCTGGGAGAGCCAAGGTTCTATCATCTTGACTCTAGAAGTACAGCATACTATTGAGATCCCAAAATAATGTAGAGTCTGGTTGTTGGTTTTATTTTCCTTGGCTTCTCACTCGTGGGTGGTGGTGGTGGTGCTAGGGGAGAGGTTAGAGCGGACCTGGAAAAGAAAGGAACTGATTGCCCTACAACAGCAAGATAGGTCCATCGCCATATCCTCTCAGCTATTTAAAACAAAACAAAACCTCCCAACATGTGCGATTTGATTTGGAAAACTCACATTTATTCAATGGAACAAAATCCCACCAATGTGGCTCTTACTACATGCCAGCCCTATTCAAGATGCCAGAGATACAGACACACACTAGTTCATTGGACCCAAAAGGCTAGTCTAGCAGGAGAAACAAACCAGAAAGTGGACAATCAGGCCACAGGGAACACCTGAAGAGCTGAGGACTCAAAGCAAGCGGGACACGTGGGGGCAGGGAAGACTTCACAGAAACGCTAAAGGCTGTATTCAGGACGCACGTGGGCCATTTCAAGGTGAAGTGATTTTAAAGCAAGAACTGTTTCCAGACTAAAAACCTTAACTTCTGAACGTGAAAAACTTGACGTTCAGGTTCTTATATATTCTATACACACACAACAATAACCTCACACAAAGGGAAATTAGCTCAGTCTGAGACCATGATTCATCAACACTGACACCTGCTCAATTGAAGTCCCAAATAGGCACCATTGAGGAATATGTGGTAGCAACCGTCCAAAATTAGGACAAAGAAACTTCTGTTGCTATAAGAACAATATAAAACACTATGCATACCTCTGGATGTATTCAGTTGTGAAGACTGTAAACCGCTAGTCCTTTCTAAACTGTTAAGATGGATAGTGAATAGGGAATAAACACTCCTGCAGTTTCCATATTTATATCTGAAAAAATCTCCAATTTACCAAAGCCTAAGTGGTATTTCTTGGGGAAAAAAATGAAAATTACGTATCTGATTTACAAATTTGTCATTCATTCATGTTACAATCCTCAAGGCTACTTTTATTCCACAACTAACTTTCCACCATTTCTAAGAAAAGGACATACGCAAAGTTTTTTTTTTTAAGGTTATAGCATTTAACAACCTGGTATGTAAATTCGAATGATCCAACAATTAGAAAAAGTTCCCCTACCACCATTTGACATTCTCAGTTTATCATTCTATTTAATATTCTTTTGTAACATCTAAGACCCCTCACCTAACAAGGTCAAAGGAACCTTAAATAGTTTTACAAGCTGCGTACAAACTCCAGGAGATGAAGGACGCAGGGAAGCCTGGCGCGCTGCAGTCCACAGGGTCTCAGAGAGTCAGACACAACTTGGCGATTGAACAAGAGACAATCCCTGTGAAATCGGAGGACGCCACGCCAACAAGAATGCAGGTCCACTGAGGAACAGCAGACCACTAGGTGAAGTCAAGATTGCTGTTCACTTTATGATGACAGAGCCTCTTTCCAGAACTACCCCCAGTTCAGTTCAGTCCCTCAGTGGTGTCCGACTCTGCAACCCAATGGACTGCAGCACGCCAGGCTTCCCTGTCCATCACCAACTCCTGGAACTTACTCAAACTCAAGTCCCTCGCGTCGGTCCCCCACCTCCCAAAGAACAGGAGAGTATCAATTTCACAAGGTGTCGGGCACTTTCTTTAAAATGAAGCTTTCATCTGATTTCAGCAAGGACACCTGGGTACTCCCGGGGCTCGGGATGGAGCATCTGGGTTTTTGAGCATCTCCGCTGCCTCCTCAACTTGAGGCCTCTGTACTTAGCCCGACCCCTAGATGGCCACCACACCACTGAGGGCGCCGTCCCTACCGCTGTCACTGACTCCAGCGCGGCTGCTCCCTGAGGGTCCCGGCCGCCTTTCCTCCCTGCCCACCCCATCACCGCCACCAGCTGTTGGCCACACCGGCCAAGCCCGGGGTCCACTCAGAGAGGCCAGGCGATCGGCCGGCTGACGCCCGAGCCCTGCTCCTGCTCTGACTTCAGCCCCCAGGTAACCTTCCAGAACCCTGGCCCTCTCTAGGAAGTGCCGCGTCGCATCCAGGAGGGAACCCCGATTCTGTTTATTGAGCGCCTACGCCAAGCTCAGGACTGGGCTCGCAACGCCAGCACTCCAGCAACTCGGGCCGGGACCCATCCTCCAGAAGAACCGACGGCGGGCCAGCAAGGGACCGACAGAACCGCGCCCCCAGCCCCCGCGTCCCCTCTGCCGGCCTTAACCTCACCCGACCCCACGGGGGCTGCCGGAGCTAAAATTAGGCGAGCGCGGGGCGCGCTCACGTGCACCCGGCGCACGGGGGCCAGGGGCGCGGCCCGAGTGAGTCACGGCCCCGCCCCCACCCGCAGAGGACGCGCTGACGTCAGCCGCTTCCCCGAAGGGTGACGTCAGCGCGCCTCGCGAAGGCCGCGGGGCCAGCCTAGAATGTTCACTGAGTTTCGATGCCTTAAAGGGACCAGGCCTCGGATCGTGAAAGATGTGGGGCGATGACCCCGCTCACCCACCCGTAGAGTCGGAGCCCGTTTTATATCCCTTTGTACTGAGAGAAAGTGATTGCTGAGATAGGAATGAAAAAAAGGAAAGCAACTGAGCCTCATTGGAGGCGCCCAGAAGCCCCAGAACCTCCTCCTGGAAGTCCTCCTTGATTAACGAGAGTCTGCTCTTGACCCAAAAGTCAGGAACTTTCCATGGCTCGTCACTGCCTACCCCTTCACTTACACCTCTGCTGACAGAGAAAGGCTGTGGTTTGAATGTCTGTCTATAACTCATCAACTTGGGCCACCTTGGCTCTTTTATCAGTATTTTTTGACTGTGTACAAATTCTCTTGTTAGGTGTGTGACCTGGAACAAGAAACTCTGGATATGAACTTTGTGAACTGGTATCTACCCCTCCTTTTAGGCTAATGTTGCCTGTGGACGTTCCCCGAGACCGGAACCCCGTCCCGTCCTTCGCCATTGAGCTCGATCACAATCTCACTGGGGACTAACAGTCCACTGAGGTGTGTGGCAGGTTTGTTTGTAATCCTCCCTCCGCTCTTTTTAACTCTCTCTTCTCTCTGAGGTGTTTGTTATTGTCCCCATTTTACGGATGAGGGAGGAAATCCGGGCACAGGATTAAGCATGTTTCCCTAGGCTACACAGCTTAAGGAACAGCAACCTGAAAGTCACTCCCAAGTCAGCTGGACTCCCAAGTCAGTGTTTTTGGTGATGAAGGTGGGCTGTGATATGTATGTTTTATTCTGGGTGTACTGAGTCCTGGAGAGTAGTTTTTCCCCTTTAACGCAATTCCAGTGCCTCTGAACAGGTAACCCACAAGTAACCCCAGCCTGCGGATACACGAGGGCGAGACCTCAGGGCCTGACCCAGATGAGGGTAGGTGAGTGAAGAGGCGCTTCCTCTCGGGTGTCCTTCCTGTACTTGCGGGGCCCTGAGAGCGGGCACCTCCTTGAGGTTTGCACTCTAGGCACCTCGCTCACCACACCCGAGTCCCAGCCCTGCCACGCCTACCCTTGGCTCTGTTTTCTTTCTGGATACTAGAGAGGGCATCCCGCTTAATGCGTCCTGGTCCGGCACGCCAGTGTCCTTCTGCCCCAGTGCTGAAGAAATACCTTGTTCCTCCTGCATCATCATCTCCTCTCTGTAAAGCAGCGATTCCTACTGAAACAGCGTCGTCATGCCAAGACGGAATGAGACAACAGCTTCGTGCAGTTCTGAGCCAAACGCTGCTGCCTGTGTCCTGGAAGTGGAGGCGGGCGGCGAGCCGCTGTCACTGGCATCTTCTGACGGTCGTTACCGGTCGTTGGCTGAGCGTCACAAGCCCATCCTCAGGGCACCCCTGCCAGGTCTATCAGGGGTACCTTCCTCCCCCGGCTCACCGCCCAGAGACGTTTAGAACTGACCTGTCTCCCCCCACCACCCAGCTCTCATCTTTGAGTGCCCTGCTCCCGACCCCTCCATCAGGCTGATGAAGTCACTGCCCACTGCTCTTCCTGTTCTCCGGGTTCTTCTGGAGCCTCTGACTGAACACCTTGTGTGTCTCCCATGGCAGCCTTGGGAGAAGATGGAGAAAACCACAGGCAGCCTCAGCTGTGGCCAGCGGCTCTCCCTCTGTACTGGGGCTGGACATGCAGACGTGGAAGCTTAGAGCGGTAGGGGACCTTCAGGCCAACCAGGCCAGCCCCTGTTTTACAGCTAGGGAACTGAGGCCTGGGTGAAGTGACCTGCCCGGGGCCACATGTCCTGTTATGTAGAGAGTCCTAGTCACTTGATTAGCAGCTCACTGCTTCTTTCACGGTTCACGCCTCTGTTAGGAGTCTCAGGTGAAACGGTGAACATAAATGTGCATGGGGACCTTCCAGACCCAGGGATCACACCTGGGTCTCCTGCACTGCAGGCAGATTCTTTACCATCGGAGCCAACTTAGGCGCATTTCCCAGTGGAATGAGAACAACAGTGAGTTGGACTGCCATTTTTAAACCTTCAGTAATCAAGATGTTGTGTGTCATTTCAGGTTTTGATTATTTTATCTCCCAGCCTTTACTTCCCATCATTTTCCTATGCCCCAAAACCCCATTAAATGTTGTTAAGAACCATCAGTGTAATCGGCCACTAACCTGGAAGGAGTGTGATCTCCAGCAGACAGCCCCAGCAAAGAAAGGAGCAGGGATCCTGGGTCTGTTCCCAACCGTGCCGGTGACTCAGTGGATGATACAAAACAAAGCACTTCTTTTGTGGGGAAGAAACAGAATGGCACAGAAGTGGGCGTAGTGGTGCAGGGAGCCGCCGGCAGGCTCCCAGCACAGCGGAAGCCCAGGGGGCTCGGTACACCCAGGTCCTCGATGACCCCTTAGCAGTGGCTGCAGCGTTAACCCTGAGCTCTGCCTCCCTTGAGCACCAGCCTCCGGTGGAGCCACTAAGATGGTTGGGTGGGATTATGGCACTTGCCCTTCGTGATGTCATCCTCATTGGTTAAGAATGCGTCCTGGTTATTCCTAACTCCACTTTACTAACGTGTTATAGATCTGCCCTCCAGAAATTTATTTGAAACTTTCTTTAATCTATTTTTATTTCCGCTTATACAGCGTTTTCAGGCAACAAGGAGGTTTATCATCTATGTAAAAGCACTAGAGGGCTTCCCTGGTGGTTCAGTGGTAGAGAATCCGCCTGCCAATGCAGGAGACATGGGTTCAATCTGTGGGTTGGGAAGACCCCTTGGAGAAGGAAATGGCAACCCACTCCAGTATTCTTGTCTGGGAAATCTCATGGATTTGCCTGGCGGGCTACAGTCCACGGGGGTCACAAATTAGTCGGTGACGACTTAGCGACTAAACAACAAAAACATACCAAAACATAGAAAGTGCTGTGTAAGGGCTTTTATTATGAATATAACAATAATTTTTTAATTATAATGTCAAATATAATCAATATAATTATATTATAATTGGATGATGCTAACTCAGATGGTCTCACAGGCTTATTTTTAGTCATTGTGTTTGCTTTTGTTTTTGTCTCCACACTCACACACACACACACCCCAGCAAAAAGTCTTTGTTCATGGCGCGGGGTGCTGTGATAGATGTGACTGCATGCAAATTTACATAAACACGTTCAGTGTCCTCTAGAGACTTTCCATCTAAGACCGACATATAGGAGGTGCTCAGTAAATACTTTTGAGTGGTTGGATGGTTGGAATTGAAAAAAGAAAAGAAAACCCGTTTGATAACTGGTGAGACATGTTAGGAATTACTGTGTTGGGGGCTGGAGGATAAACATTGGGCTGAAGGAAGAAGGGAATGTGAGATGGTTTGGCCATGTGCATGTGTGAGCGCTTCTCAGATTGCCTTAGTGCTTGTTCTGGAGGAATAGCTGGGTGATGCATAGCAAGGGGGACCAAAGTGGCACCCCCTGACGGGTGCATGTGGGTGGCAGTAGTGAGGAGGCAGGTAGGAGGTCCGGGAGACAAAGACCAGTTTGTGTGGCTATCTCTGTTTTTAATGCGAACCACAGCAGAATGAATGGCTCAGCGGGTAGAGAATCTGCCTGCAGTGCAGGGGACACGGGAGACTCGGGTTCGATTTTTAGGTCGGGATGATCCCCTGGAGAAGGGAATGGCAACCCTCTGCAGTACTCTTGCCTGGAGAATCCCATGGACAGAGGAGCCTGGCGGGCTGTAGTCCAAAGGGTTGCAAAGAGTCTGAGCGACTAAGCACGCACACACAGAATGAACTTTTTAAAGCTAAGTGATTCAACAGGTGAATGGACAGATAAATGGTGGTACTTCCAGACAATGGAATATTATTAAACACCAAAAATAAATAAAGAGAGCCATGAAAAGACACAGAAGAACAGTAAATGCATATCACTAAGTCAAAGGAGGCAACCTATAAAGGCTACATACTGTGTGATTCCAATTATATGACATTCTGGAAAAGACAAAGCTATGAAGACGGTAAAAATGTGAGTGCTTGCAAAGGGTTAGAAGGGAGGGAGGGATGAATTGGGGGAGCACAGAGGATTTTTAGGACAGTGAATCTACTCTATGATATCCAGTGATGTATACATGTCATCATACATTTGTCCAAACCCACAGAATGTGCATCGCCAAGAGTGAACTGTAATGTAAACTGGACTTTGGGGATTATGATATGTCAGTGTAGGTTCATCAATTGTAACAAATATACCGTTCTGGTCCATCTAAGTTGAGGAGAGTGTAGGTGAGGGTGGATAAGGGGCACATGGGAAAAACTCTGTACTTTCTGCTCAGTTTTGCTGTAAATGTATAACTGCTATACAAAATAAAATCTTTAAAAAAAAAAACTCAGGTAAGGTGATGATACTCTTCTGTATGTAGAGTTCAGTCCATCCTGGGGTCACAGAGACTTGGGCTGGAGTCTGAGCCCCACCACGATCAGCTCTGCAACTTTGGGAAAGTCCTTAACCCCTCTGACCTCAGTTTCTCTAACTCCACAGGATTGTGTTGTCTTCCTCAGAGCACTTGGAAAATTAAATGAAAAACTCTATGTAAAATGTCTAACTCAGTACTTAGGTTATACAAGTAAACATATACAGACCCCTCCCCAATTCTTTGCTTAATGACTCTGATTGTTAAACATCGTGATGGCTACTAGCTTCAAAGTCAGGCCAGTGGAGGAAAGTCATCTGGGGTGAAAGTGACCTTCTCCCAGGAAGGGCACCTGTGTATGGGACTGGACATGTGTGTGCTCACATGCTCGCTCACAGATGCTGGCCACGGAGTGCCAGGCATGGACTTGAGCCCTGAGAGGCAGCCTCAAGCCCCTCACTCAGCTTTCTCCCGTGAAAAGGTCAGGATGATGGAAGTCTGTCATATTTAGCTGATGGCTCGCAGAGAAGGCTCGATGAGTTAG